CTGCGGAAGTGAACCCACAGCGAGAAGAACCATCGGCCGGTCCACGCTCGAACAGGTCTCGTAGGTGACGGTGCTATACGGCGACTCTGGAGTTCAGAGAGGTGGTGTTAATTCTCTAACTGGTGTTATGATTTGCGTTGAGGGCTGGTGAGGGAGATCCATCGAGGTATCGTAATGGATTGTATAGGAACTCTACGAAAACAATTACTGGGTATGTAATCATCATATTAAGGATAGTTAATCTTAAACAAACCGTGGCATAGTAAGGGAAGTTCATCTTAAACAAACCGTGGCATATTGAGGATAGTTAATCTTAAACAATCCTTGGCATATTAAAGGTAATCTCTTAAACAAACCGTGGCATATTAAAGAACAGTTAATCTTAAACAAGCCGTGGCATATGTAGGATAGTTCATCTTAAAAAAAGAAAGAAAAAAAAAAAAAAAAAACATGGCATGATCTTTGAGGAACATGTATTCTAGGTCGCGGGATGATGCGGTAGGAAACCCAGGTCCCTTTCCTCTCCGACTTTGACCCCAGCATGCTGATGGTGTGTCGACCTCGCGACGCCAAGCATGAATTGCATATTACACGTATATAAATACCCTTATTGCTGTAACATTGAATAAAGATAAACCACAAATCCCCACTCACTTGTCCTCAACACCAGGTAGTCTCCACACTGGTCATGACTCAGACGAATCTCAGGCACGACAACAAGAACTTTTCGTCCTTTTGCGGGCTTGACGATCCAAGTACATCTCGCGTTGTTTGGGTAGTTGCCGGGGTAGTTTGGGGTTTCGAACACGCCCGAGAGATTCCCCACAAAACCACCGCATTCTTGTCCTGGGGAACATATTTCATCTCAACTGATATTTCATAAATAATAACAAATTATCAGTCAAAAAAAGTCCTTAGATTAAAAAAAAAAAATACATATAGCAGTCATACTTACCTTATGAATGACAAACTTACCGGAAGATCGTGATAAAAAACAACAACTTACTCTTGCAAGCTTCAACAGTCACGGAGGCTATGTGGTCAGTGAGGACGCCCCCGGGGCACTGGCGGCAGGAAGAGGCTCCATGGTCGGGCTGGTAGTAGCCTCGGGGACAGCTCTCACACTGGCGGGACGTGTGACTCCAGAAGTGCCCCGGCTGGCAAAGCTGAGCTGTAGGGGTCACGTTGGAAAGAAAGATTGGGAATCTGATTTATGTAATGCATATATATTATTTATATGTACATATTTGTTTAATACACACACACACACACATATATATATACAATTTATATGTTGGGGGCCTTTTATTATCTGCGAAAAGATCTGTACTATCGTTATTTTGATATAGGACTCTGGGTTTACTCCTGGAATCAAATATCAATTCACATTTCTGTAGAATAAAAGAAATGATTCCTAGCTACACAGTAGGAAATCCTTACAGACTGTCTTAGTAAAATCAATAGCTTCCTCTGTTGGTTTGCATGTATATACATATAAATAAATATCTGAATGCTTCCCCTTATTCTCCCCCCCCCCTCTTCTCTTTCTCTCTCTCTCTCTCTCTATCTTCTCTCTTTCTCTCTTCTTTCTCTCTCTCTCTCTCTCTCTCTCCTCTCTCTCTCTCTCTCTCTCTCTCTCTCTCTCTCTCTCTCTCTCTCTCTCTCTCTCTCTCTCTCTCTCTCTCCCTCCTCTCTCCCCTCCCTCCTCTCCTCTCCCTCTCTCTCTCTCTCTCTCTCTCCCCTCCCTCCCTCCTCTCCTCCCTCTCTTCTCTCTCTCCCCCTTCTCTATCTATCTATCTCTATCTATTCCACTTACCGCCCTGGAAGCAGTGGGAAAGCGAGGCAGCGGCGGCGGGTGAGGTCAGTCCTTGCGGGCAGGGGATGCACTCCACCCTGCCGATGTCAGACTGGAAGGTCCCGGCCGGGCAAGGGCGGCAGGGGCTGAAGCCGTCGATGCTCCAGTGGCCAGGGGGGCACGCGTCTGTTTGGTAAGGTGATAGGAATAACTGCGATAGGAGTGATAGGACACGAATGGTGATGGGGATGACAGATGGCGGTATTTCATCTTTTCTTTCTTCGATTTCCTCTCTCTCTCTCTCTCGCTCAGTGAGTGAGTGAGAGAGAGAGAATAAAGGGGAAGGAGGAAGAATGGGATATTTTATTCATATTCGGTAGTACGAAAAAATATTTGCACTGACGAAGAAAATGCGTACTCCTGAAATAAAAGATATAAAATAAAGATAATAAATATAAATAAATAAATAAATAATAAAGATAAATAAAATGTAAATAAATAATAAATAAAGATAATAAAGAAATAAAGATATGAGGCGTATAAGAAAAGCAAACGGACAGCCACGAGGTCCAGGTCTGGGGGAATCAAGATTACCTGAGCACTCGGAGGCGTTGCGAGCCGCGAGCTTGTGGGGGCCTCCCGGGGGGGCGGAGGGGGGGCACGCCTGGCACGACGTCTGGCCCTCGCGCTCCTGGTACGTCCCGGCCGGGCACGCCAGGCACAGGTCGCTGCGCGGGTCGTGGTAGGACCCCTGGCTGCACGCCACTGCGGGGGCGAGTTCGTTAGATGGCAATTATATTCATTTGTGTAGTGTATGCTATATATCTATATATATATATATATATATATATATATATATATATATATATATATATATATATAATATAGACACACACACACACACACACACACACACACACACACACACACACACACACACACACACACAACACACACACACACACACACACACACACACACACATTATCATATATATATATATATATATATATATATATATATATATATATATATATATGTATATGTGTGTGTGTGTGTGTGTGTGTGTGTGTGTGTGTGTGTGTTGTGTGTAAAGCAGTACTAATAAAGATCCCGAGTCACGTGAACAAATGAATCGATTACGGAAACAAATATGACATGACAGCTTCTTCTTTCTTTCTGGAGTAACAGACCAAGTCGCAACACAAAACCCACTGCGCAGTCGACGCCCCGAGAAGCATCTTACCGCACTTGCTGCCGATGAGGACATATCCGTCGGGACACGCCTCCTGGTGGTGTCGCCTCGTCTTGTACGTCTTCGGGATGATCTCGAACCTCTGGCCGGTGTCGCTGAAGGAGGGGGAAGGGAAGGCAAGAGAGAGACGAAGATTATCGTAAATGCTTTCTTCTTATCGTTTTCCTCCTTTGCAAGTCTTTTCGTATAAGGTTCGTAATAGCCATATTGTATAATTTTCCATCTGCCTTTTTGACAAAACACGAACAAAAAACATACCACAAATTCCACGCATCTCGACACATCACCCGACACTTTACCTGATGACTTCTCGTAGATTAAGGAGAGTCTTCCTCAACGTGCCCAAGACGCCGGGGATGAGTTTGCGGGCGTGGCGTCGGGCACAGCTCTGGCGGCAGCGGCGTTGCGGCGGCGGAGGGAACACCAGCACCTCGAAGGTCACGCGGATCTTGGTGCGAATTTTTTTTTTTAGAGAGATTTTTTTACGATCGGGGTTTTTAGTTGATTGATTGATTGATTGATTGAGCGAGTAATGAGGGTTTGAGTGATTTTTATTGATTGAGCGAGTAATGAGGGATGGATTGACTGATTTCATTGATTGAGCGAGTAATGAGGGATGGATTGACTGATTTCATTGATTGACTGAGCGAGGCATTAATCGACTCACAGATTTGATCCATTCGTAGAAAGTTAAAGAGAGGCAGAACAGTAAAGAAAATCGCCTCTCTCTCCTTTTTTTATCTAAAAAAATTTCAAAACATTCCCTTCATTCCCCTCCTCCTTCCTTCCAAACACAGAGAAAATAACAAAGAGAAAATACCCCTCCCCCCCCCCCCCCCCGCCCACTTTCTCTCCTTTCCTTCCAAACGCAGAGAAAATAATAAAGAAAAAAATACCCCCCTCCCCCTCCCCCCCTCCTAGCCCCACTTTCTCTCCTTACTTCCAAACGCAGAGAAAATAACAAAGAGAAAAATACCCTCCCCCCCTCCTAGCCCACTTTCTCTCCTTCCTTCCAAACGCAGAGAAAATAACAAAGAGAAAAATACCCTCCCCCCCCCCCCCCCCCCCCCTCGCCCACTTTCTCTCCTACTTCCAAACACAGAGAAAATAACAAAGAGAAAAAACCCTCCCCTCCCCCCTCCCTCGCCCACTTTCTCTCCTAATTCCAAACGCAGAGAAAATAACAAAGAGAAAAATACCCCTCCCCCTCCCCCCTCCCCCCTCCTAGCCCACTTATCCATGCCGTGACGCTAAGACCTAAGACCCTTTTTTTTTCAAAGCCACAAAGACAAGCCACTTACCACTTGCGTGTCTGGCGGGATCTCCATACGCTTGGCTTTTGTCACTTGTTCCGATATGAAGCGCAATTGGCACTTGTCCACGCAGTAGCTGATTTTGTCTGCGGAGGAAAGGCGGAAACGAAGGAAATGATATAAAATTGATGATGAATGATGAAATATTGAATGATGAAAATGATGAAAATTGATGATGAAAATATTTAAAATTGATGATGAATATTTGATGAAAATGATGAAAATTGATGATGAAAATATTTGATGAAAATGATGAAAATTGATGATGAATATTTGATGAAAATGATGAAAATATTAAAATTGATTGATGAATTTTGATGAAAAATGATGAAAATGTGATGAATATTTGATAAAAATGATGAAAATTGATGATGAAAATGATGAAAATTGATGATGAATATTTGATGAAAATGATGAAAATTGATGATGAATATTTGATGAAAATGATGAAAATTGATTGATGAATATTTGATGAAAATGATGAAAATTGATGATGAATATTTGATGAAAATGATGAAAATTGATGATGAAAATGAAAATTGATGATGAAAATTGATGAAAATTGATGATGAATATTTGATGAAAATGATGAAAATTGATGATGAAAATATTTGATGAAAATGATGAAATTTGATGAAAATGATGAAATTGATGATGAATGATGAAATGATGAAAATTGATGATGAATATTTGATGAAAATGATGAAAAATTATGATGATTTTGATGAAAATGATGAAAATTGATGATGATTTGATTTGATGAAATTGATGATGAAATGAAAATGATGAAAATTGATGAATGAATATTTGATGAAAATGATGAAATTGATGATGAATATTTGATGAAAATGATGAAAATTGATTGAAATTTGATGAAAATGATGAAATTGATGATGAATATTTGATGAAAATGATGATGAAAATATTTGATGAAAATGATGAAAATTGATGATGAATATTTGATGAAAATGATGAAAATTGATGATGAATATTTGATGAAAATGATGAAAATTGATGAAATGATGAAAATTGATTGATGAAAATGATGAAATGATGATGAAAATATTTGATGAAAATTGATGATGAAAATATTTGATGAAAATGATGATGATGACATGATGATGATTGATGATGAATATTTGATGAAAATGATGAAAATTGATGATGAATATTTTGATGAAAATGATGAAAATTGATGATGAAAATATTTGATGAAAATGATGAAAATTGATGATGAAAATATTTGATGAATGAAAAATTGATGAAAATATTTGATGAAAATGATGAAAATTGATGATGAAAATATTTGATGAAAATGATGAAAATTGATGATGAAATTTGATGAAAACATGAAAATGATGATGAAAATATTTTTGATGAAAATGATGAAAATTGATGATGATGATGAAAATTTGATGATGAAAATGAAAATGAAAATTGATGATGAAAAATTTGATGAAATGATGAAAATTGATGATGAAAATGATGAAAAATGATGATGAAAATTGATGATGAAAATATTTGATGAAATTGATGAAAATATTTGATGAAAAGATGAAAATTGATGATGAAAATATTTGATGAAAATGATGAAAATTTGATGATGAATGATGAAAATATTTGAAATTGATGATGAAAATATTTGATGACAATGATGAAAATTGATGATGAATATTTGATGAAAATGATGAAAATTGATGATGAAAATGATGAAAAATGATGAAAATTGATGATGAAAATATTTGATGAAAATGATGAAAATTGATGATGAAATATTTGATGAAAATGATGAAAATTGATGATGAATATTTGATGAAAATGATGAAAATTGATGATGAATTTGATGAAAAATGATGAAAATTGATGATGAATATTTGATGAAAAATTGATAAAAATGACGAAAAATGATGATTGATGATGAAAATGACGAAAATGATGAAAAATGATGAAATTGATGAAATTGATGATGAAAATGATGAAAATTGATGATTGATGAAAAGATGAAAATGATGAAAATGATGAAAATGAAAATTGATGATGAATGATGAAAATGATGAAAATTGATGATGAAAAATATTTGATGAAAATGATGAAATGATGATGAACGATGATGCGAATGAAGATGAAAATGATGACGAGAAACGATGAAATGATGAACGCGAGCGCGCCGACCCAAAAATATTCGTATTACTTGCAAAAAATAATGAAATAAGGGCGTGTTCATCAGTCTAGACATGCATATCAATCCCGCAATTAGATGGTTAGATTTATATCTATCAGATATAGAGAGAGATATGCCTTTATTTCTGCGTCTGTATTTATGGAAATTCATTGGGTTTCGCCTGGCACAATTTTCACAAACCAGGTGATTAGGCAATAGTATTTCTGATGATACTGGTGAAGTGAATTGGTTGTTGCTGTTTTTAATTTTTCTTGGTCTTGTTCCTTTTCTTTTTCTTCTTTTTTTTTTATTTTTGTATACTTTAGTCTATCTTTCTTCTGATTTTTTATCATTCTTTTTTTCATTTTTCATTCCTATTCTTATTGAAATTATTATTATTATGATAATTACTAGGATCATTGGTATCAGTATAAGTATTATTACTGGTATTAGAAATACTATTGTCATTATCATTATCAACTTTACATTAACGGTATAAAATTCTCGATTATTTTTCTTGTTTCTTTTCAACATTTTTTCTTCTTCTTATTTTTATTTGCCAGGTAAAGGTGCATGGAAGACATCTGATACTCATGCGTTGATATCAAATGATGATAATAATGATGATGAGGAGGAGAAGGATGTTATGATCATGGTGATGAGGCTGCCATAATGATGATGATGTCATGATGATGGCACTAATAATGACAATGATAATAATAATAACAACAGCAATTATAACAGTAATAATAAAAAAACAACAACAAGAGATGATGGAAAGAATATTCCGGAACCCCCCCCCCTCTCCCCCTCATCCCCCCTCCCTTTCTCCTCCCCCATCCCCTCCTCTCCCCTCCCTCCTCACCCCCTCCCCCTCCCTTCCCCCCTCCCTCCCCCTCCCTCCCCCTTCCCCCTCTCCCCCATCCCCATCCCCCCCCCCTCCCCTCCCCATCCCTCCCCCTTCTCCCCTCCCCTCACCCCCCTCCCTCCTCTCCTCCCTCCCTCTCCCTCCCCCTCCTTCCCCCTCATCCAGCCTCCCCCTCCTCACCCCCTCACCCCCTCACCTTCCAGCGCCTCCATGAGCGGCTTGGCGACGGAGTGGCTCGTGGCGTTGTCGGCGCCGCTGGTCGTCAGCATCAGCCTCACCGACCACTTGAACCCTGGCTCCACCTGGGACTCTGCGGGGCGTCGAGAGGACTTTATAGTAACGGGATAAACTTTATATTAACCGTATAAATTTAGTTTGAGTGGTATCTTTATATCAACGGTGTAAATTTTGTTTGAAGGGTATAAACTTTATATTAATTGTTTAAATTTTGTTTGAAGGGTATAAACTTTATATGAATGTTATGAACTTTATATTAACGGTTTAACTTTATATTAACGGTTTATATTAACGGTGTTTAACGCTTATATTTTTAAATTTTGTATGAATGGTATAAACTTTATATGAGGGGAATGAACTTTATATAAGTGGTATAAACTTTATATGAATGGTATAAACTTTATATTATGTAAATTTTGTATGAATGGTATAAGCTTTATATGAAATAAACTTTATATTAACGGTCATATTAACGGGATAAACTTTATATTAACGGTTTAAATTTTGTATGAATGGTATAATTTTTTTATGTGGTATAAACTTTTTTTATGAATGGTATAATCTTTATGTGAGTGGTATAAACTTTATATTAACAATATAAATTTATATCAATAGTATAAACCTCATATGAGCGATATAAACTTTATATTAACGGTATAGACATTTTAGTAACGGTATAGAATTTTCAAATATTTTTTCCTAGATTCTTTTTTCAATTTTTTCCGTTTTTTTCATTCCATTTGTCTTGCTAGTTTTCTTATAAAAGGTGCCCAGGAGACTGAATATCCACATTCGATATCCATTCGTGGAATTCAAACGTTTTTAAAAATCATGGAATATTTATCGACACAATGGCCGTCCACAACTACCCTAAACACACGTAATATTCCCATTTAATTCTTCATACTGCCATCTTTAACATCAATACAATACCAGTATATAAAGGAAAGCTTTTTTTGCTACCACGGCTCTCCACAGCTCACCCGAACAAGCCAGGTGGGAAGCGTTGGCAGCTGGTTCCTGTGTCGTCCAGCTGAAGGTGGTGTGGCGGCCGCAGGTGAACACGTAGTAGTCATCGGGTCCGGAGGTGAACCGCGCACCGGGACGACAGCGCACCGTGCACCGTTCCTCGTAGCCGTAGTCCTCCAGGTGGTAGCACGACACCTAGGGAGCAGGGGGGGGGGGGGGAGGTGGAAAGTGAAGCTGGATGATTTTCTCTGTCTAGGTAAGCACTATGGCTTTGGCTGCGGTTGGGGAGGCTGTTCTGTCCCGTTAGTGCGATGGACACACTTGCACATGCATCTGCACTCACACACACACACACACACACACGCACACATATATATACACACACACACACATCATGTATATATATATATATATATATATATATATATATATATATATATATATATATATATATGTATATATATATGTATATATATATATGTATATATGTATATATATATATGTATATATGTATATATATATATATGTATATATTATATATGTATATGTATATATGTATATATGTATATATTATATATATATATATATATATATATATATATATATGTATATATATATATATATATATATATATATAATATATATATATACACATACACATATATATACATACATACATACATTATAAATGTGTGTGTGTGTATGTGTATTTACATCTGTGTGTAGTGTATAAATTTTATTTCTACTTATTGTCCTTAAAAACTAAAGAAAAATGTTTTTTTTTTTCTATATACTGAGATCCCATACAGACACAAGACTAAGAAGAGATCTTTTGTGAAATCCCAACTTTTCTCAAAATTCACTGGGGTTATCCATAATAAATCCCTGAGGCCTTCGTAGCGCAATACAACAGGGCTGACAGTGCTTTCCGCCTCCAAGCCGATCTTCGTTGACCTGCTGCATTTAGGCCAAAGTATCATTACTTAGAGGGAAATGATTCCTCTCCCGAGCAATCTCAGGGGGTGATCACCCATTTTTATCTATCACGGCCGTGAGGATGTTTATTTATATATAATATATATAATATATATATATATATATATATATATATATATATATATATATATATATCTCTCTCTCTCTCTCTCTCTCTCTCTCTCTCTCTCTCTCTCTCTCTCTCTCTCTCTCTCTCTATATATATATATATATATATATGACACGATGTCGATGTCAACTCATGGATTCCACATTTAATTAATTTTAAACGTCATTAAAAGAATAGCACTGTGATTATGTAATCGTTCACGCCACTGAATAATGCTAATAAACTATGTAATATTTCTTTGTTGTTAATTCAAAACATGGCAATTAAAAACAGTAATTGTAATTCTCTCAAATTACAAATATCAAAAAAGATACATACCTTTACCCATAATTCGAATTCTGTGTCAAGTCAGTAACCCTTCGCCTTGCATCCTACACAGCAACTGCCTTCAGGTCCCTTCAGAAAACCTTATAAACCCATTAGATAAACCACGTGTACCTCTCACCACGTCAGTACCTCCGCCTTATTTGGGTTCCTCAGCGGCGTGCATTTGTCCGTCTGCAGACAGTCTTTGCCGTTCGCGTGCAGGCGGTATCCGGATTCGCATGCGCACTTATACGAACCCTCGGTGTTGATGCACTCCTGGCTGCAGCCGCCGTTGTCCACGCTGCATTCGTTCACATCTGGAAAGGAATCGGGTGTGAGAACGTTTTTTTGTTTTGTTATATTACTACAGAATTGTTGGTGGTGAAATTATTCAGAGATTGTAAACCTCCGCCAAAGCAATAAGGTCACTGCTGCAATAAAAAATTCCACAAAGAATTCCATTAAAATCGCCTTCCTCAAGTACACAGTCACGTGACGTTCGTAAGCATACCCCCCTTGGCGGAGGCAAAGCAATAGGGGTAATGGCGCAATTATTCAAAAATTTCCTGGATCCAGATCATGATCCGGATCACCACCAAAATTTAATGGAATCGAAGTTAGACTAAGACACACTTCTGGTAAAAGTTTCATCTGTTCATAACTTTTTTTTTAGTGAATTAACTAACCAACGCGACCAAAAACATAACCTCTATCGCGGAGGTAATGAACGGTTTATTTTTGAGGGCCACTTAGACGTTAAGTCCTTTTTTAACATATATATAGACATGTAGATATCCAAATAGATTTATAGGATAGATAAAGGTGTATGGATAGATAGATTTATAGGATAGATAATGGTGTATGGATAGATAGGTTGATAGATAGATCGATATAGATAAATGTATAGCTATGGATACAGTTATAGATATAGATATGCTATAGATAGATATACTGTAGATACGGATAGATATATACGTAGAAATAATTGGCATATAAAGAGCATGAGTGGCACTTCATTATCATTATCAGGATGTGATAACGAAGAGCAAGAGGCGCACTCACCCCCGCAATGCGCCGTCGCGAACAGCTGATATCCTTCCCTGCACGAACACTGGTAAGACCCCGGGGAGTTCGTGCACAGGTGTTCGCAGGTGTCGTTGACGGCACACTCGTCCACGTCCCGACAGGTGCGTTCGTCCGGCTGGAGTTTGTAGCCCGTCGGACACACGCACTCGTAGCTGCCGTAGTTGTTGATGCAGCGGTACTCGCAGCCGCCGTCGTCGCTCGCGCACTCGTCCACATCTGCAAGGAGGTCGTGGATGCGAGGTCTTCGTCGTTCAGCCAGCTCGAAAATGAGCTTTACTTTCTGAATGATAATGGTTATATATCGATAATCGGAGAAGAATATAATTTATGGGCGATTTCCTGCCCGTACCGAGACAGGAGCGGTGGTCGGAGTGCAGCAGGAAGCCCTTGGTGCACGAACATCGAACTCCCGTCGCGGTGTTGTGGCAGCGGCGTTGGCACCCGCCGTTGTTGATGGCACAGGACGCTAGCGGGGCCGTAAAGACGCATAATTGTTATATTTAAAATTATTATTGTTATTATACAGACGAGACAGAGATTGACTCTGTAATGGACTGGAGAGCAAATGCATGTGTAAGGTATGTGTACAAAAATTACACATACACATTCCAAGAAGGAAATCGAATATTATATACTCAAACACGATACTTAAAGGTTTAAGCAATACACATATATGCTAACATGCACCAAAACACACACACACAACACATACATAAATACATGGCCGTATCTACATATGAAAAATCCCACATATGAAAACATATCTTTTCTAATCCACACAAATATCCAGAAAACAACCATTCCACGAAACTGCTCGAATCTCATCATCAAGGAAGGGAATAAGATAACATTAAATTAAATTAAAATTAAATTAAATTAAATTAAAGCATCGATATGAACTCTCTTTTCGACGTCATACTCACGCACGCACGACTGGCCATCAGCAGCGAGGAGGTACTTGGAGTGGCAGGTGCAAGCGGGGCTGTTGGCGGACTGGTGGCAGTGGTGTTGGCAGCCTCCATTACCAACCTGCGGAAGAGTTATTGCAATGTTGTTTTTTTCTTTTTTTTTTTTCTTTTCTTTTCTCTTTCTTTTTTGGATAATGTTATTTGGCAAAATCAAATACAACCTGAGGAAAATTTTAGAATAAAAACGAACAGAATTCATAATAAATGATAAATCGCATATCAAAAGAAAGGAAAAGAAAAAGAAACAAACAAAGACAATTTAGAATCAGAAGATCAACGAATGATCAACAACAACTAAGTCACACTAACGGCACACGTTGGTTCGCACTGTCTTGCCCTCACGAGCACGTATCCCTCGCGACAACCGCAGGCGGGAGTCCCGGTAGCGCTGACTAAACAGTGTTGTTGGCACCGCAGATTCCAACACGACGGCGACG